GAAGAGATTGGACTGCCATTCGTCAGAAGTGGTGTAGGGTCTCCCTCTTGGGCACGGGGGGGGGGTGGACTAGAAGACCTCCAAGGTCCCTTCCAACTCTTATTATTCTGTTATTGGGGGAGCTGAGGCGCCTCTAGGAATTCCAGGGAGTTGGTGCGTCTCTAGGAACAGCCAGGCAGATCTCCTCTCCTCCATCCAGCTAGGTTCTCCTGCTTCAGCAGGGGGCTGGACTAGAAGACCTCCAAGGTCCCTTCCAACTCTTATTATTCTGTTATTGGGGGAGCTGAGGCGCCTCTAGGAATTCCAGGGAGTTGATGCGTCTCTAGGAACCGCCAGGCGGATCTCCTCTCCTCCATCCAGCTAGGTTCTCCTGCTTCAGCAGGGGGCTGGACTAGAAGACCTCCAAGGTCCCTTCCAACTCTTATTATTCTGTTATTTTGGGGAGGGGGGCAGCTGATGCGTTTCTTGGACCGCCAGGCGGATCTCCTCTGCTCCAGCCAGCCAGGTTCTCCTGCTTCAGCAGGGGGCTGGACTAGAAGACCTCCAAGGTCCCTTCCAACTCTTATTATTCTGTTATTTTGGGGAGGGGGGCAGCTGATGCGTTTCTTGGACCGCCAGGCGGATCTCCTCTGCTCCAGCCAGCCAGGTTCTCCTGCTTCAGCAGGGGGCTGGACTAGAAGACCTCCAAGGTCCCTTCCAATTCTGTTATTCTCTTTGGGGGGAGGGGAGTTGATGCGTCTCTTGGACCGCCAGCCGGATCTCCTCTCCTCCACCCAGCCAGGCTGTTCGTGCGGTTTAGCAGGTGCCTGCCCGCCCCCCCCCTTTCCTTCTCCGGGGACGCTTACATAAGGCGCTTATGCAACGCCCCCCCCCCTTGCTTTCGCCCCGAGGTGGGCAGCGGCAGCTCCGCGTCTCTATCCTTTTCAGAGTCGCCAAGCATCTCTAACCTCCATTCATGCGAGCGCGGGCGCCGGCATCTCCAAAGCAGGCGAGGGGAGCGGTCACTACAGACCTCAAATACGGGAAGGGGGTTTCCATTAATCAGACCGCTACCCCACATCTGGATCTCCTGGACGAAGATTGATCTACTGTGGATGAAGATTAAGGAATGTCCTAAACTAAAAAGAGGCAAAAAGAGACCAGAATTCGCTCTCGGTTCCCCTCCCCTCCCTGAGATGGAATGGACCGTCCCGCCTTCCAGACGCTATGAATGAAATATTTGCCGCGAAAGGGAAGGGAGCAGACCATTCTAACGAAAGGGGAGGTTGTCATTAACCACAGCTACGAATTTAGGGCCCGACGCACGGAGACCTTCGGGGTGCGTGTTTTATTTTTAGAAAGGAAAAGAAGAGATACGGAGCACACTCCGGAAGAGGCGAGATTCCTTAAATCAGCGGAGTGGAGGATTTCATGATTTCTTCACACACCCCTTTCGTTTCGGAACAATAGTCCAACCCGATCCCGCTCCCACCACGGTGGGCGGGCAGCGCCGCTATTGGCTGGGCGCATTTTAAAGGGGCAGACAAGGCGCGCTTTTTCTATCCTCCGACCCTTCCTTTCCTCTCGTTTCAAATCTCGCCTCAGCCGCTCCGGCCGACCAGCCGCAGCCAGCCAGCCAGCCAGCCAGACGGGCGGACGGGCGAGGAAGCGAGCCGGAAAAGCAGCGAACGTGAGCCTCCGTCGAGCCCCGGTCCGGCGGGGCGGGCGGCATGAAGAGGGGCGATCCCCGCCCGCAACGACTCCGACCACGACGGCCAAAAAGGCGGCGGCGGCGACTGCGGCGGGTAGGCCCCGCCGCGGCGTTGTTATGGAAACGGGCGGCGACGGCGGCCGCCGAGGGACAGAAAGGTTGCCCGAGCGGCGCCTGAGGCGCGCCGAGCGCGAGCGGCTCCCGCCGCCGCCGCCTCCTCCGCCGTTTCTGAGGGGCGCCTCGGCCGCCATGGAAGGCCGGCCGGTGGGTCGCCCGAGCCGGGCCTCTCCACCGGCCAAAGCCGCCTTGGCTTCCCCTCCTCGCTACCGCCTGGTGTCGGAAATCGGGCGCGGGGCCTACGGCGTGGTCTACGAAGCGGTGTCGGGCCGCAGCGGCGCCCGCCTGGCCGTCAAGCGGCTGCGTTGCGACGCTCCCGAGAACGTGGAGCTGGCCCTGGCCGAGTTCTGGGCCCTGACCAGCCTCCGCCGCCACCACCCCAACGTGGTGCGCTTCGAGGAGTGCGTCCTGCAGCGCGACGGGCTCGGGCAGCGCATGAGCCACGGCAACAAGCAGAGCGCGCTCTACCTCCGCCTGGTCGAGACCTCCCTCAAGGGTGAGGAGAAAGGGGGGGGGGACGGGAGGGGTCGTCTGAACGGGGTCCCG